TATGGTATGAGACAATGTTATGATAGGGTTCCCTATGTATCCGGTTTGTCCACCATCTCTCAATATATCTAGTAATGTTGTTGCTTCATCCATTCACTTAATCAAACAATTTTCCATTTACCTTTTAATTTTAAGTTTTTCAATTCAACCGTGATCATATAAAATAAACAAAACATACATCAAAGGAATACAATCGCATCACAGTTTTCCAATTTAACTGTAATCACATAAGGAAAGCAACACGTGCATTCAAAACTATAAAATCAATCAATCAGGTATCATCATGCATTTAAATTATAAAATCAATTAACACGACCAACAGTGAATAACTTATGGTTCTGACTCCATTAGTAACTTGTAATTAATTATGGATATTTTTTAAATTATACAAAATACCGTATTATTTTTAATTAGATTTCAATTCTATAACAGAGAATAAGGTGCGGGATTCTTACTCAAATTGATGTCCGAAATGCTAAATGTTTTGTTGCGCCTACTGGCGGTCCCTAGATTCCCTAAATTTTTCTTCGGGAATTAAAACACACTTCAAGTACCTATAAATATAAAATCAGCATTAGAAACTCTTTTTGGCCAATTCCAGAACTTCGGAACTCCGACCGTCGCGCTCCAACGACGACACCGCCGCCCGCAACAGTGGTTTGCCTTGGGTCGGCTGTTTTCGATCAATTTTGATCAAATTCAGCCGGTTTTTGTATCAATTCCTGTGAAAAAATACATTAAGGAGTTTTGGTTGGCCCAAAAAATTAAAAAATCGAAAGTTACTAGCAGTGGAGTTCTCCGGCGCGGTGGCTCTGCTGGCTTACCTTTGCGATTGGGTGTTTTGCTTCGGTCGATCTGTAGAGAAGGAAACGGTAATTATAATGGTGGAAGAATTACACATAACGGGAATCGAAAAAGACCTCGTCAGATGTGGTTTTTACAATTTCTCACAGTAGCATCGCCAGACTTTGCTCGTGATTTTCAGTCAATTCGTCAGTCCTTTTGCTCTGATTTGGCCATGGAATGTTTAAAATCGAATTTTGAGTAAAATTTTTTTTTTACTTCTTTTAGCGGTTGGAAGTGGCTCCAGCGCGATGGGGGGCGGCGGGCGGCTTCCTTCCCAGTGACTGGCTCTTTTTCTTCGGCGGGGGGTGTATAGCGACTAGGGTTAGGGTTTGGTGTGAAGAGAGTTATTTATATACGTCCCCTTTTAATATGAACTGTCCATTACGTTTGATCTGAACCGTCCGATCACGATTAAATAGGGAGTGAATCTGAACCGTTCATCGTGATTTAATCTGTACCGTTTATCATGATTTAATGTGTACCGTCCGATCGCATTTAAATAGAAAGTAGATCTGGATCATCCGATCGCGTCTGGGGAGGGAACGGATCCGGACCGTCCGTGCGTGCGAGAACGAATCTAGACCGTTCGATCGTGGGCATGCATATCACCTGTGTGTCAGCGTCCTTTGCCACGCTGCATGCTCCAATTTATTGGGGCTGCTGACTGGGCGTCCTACGTATCACAATTTTTTAAAATTACATTTTGACCTTAATTTCTGAATTTTTTTTCAAAAATACATCCAGAACTCAAATTTTCACCCATTTTTTTAAATTTTTTTTCAATTTCATCATCCATTTAATTTTCTCCATTTTTACATTAAATAATAATTAAAAAAATAAAATTTAAATTATATATATTAATTTGAATATTAAAAATTAAATTCTGGGTATTACAAATAAAATTAGATAATTTGTTAGTGAGTTTAAGTAAATAAATAAATATTGAAAGCCATATAAAACTCATTTAGCCGGTATCACCGATAGACAGATATATGTGTAGTCTTTTGACGTGTGACTATAGTGAACCTTACTCGTGGTTACGGCTTTAGCCAGACATGGCAAAGCGATAAGTACTGTGAAATTATGAACTGTATACTGTATACTGTGAACTAAACTGTAACGTGTTCACGTTGTATGATGGATCCTTATTGCTTTTATTGATACCAATAGAAATGATATTGTGCAATAAAACTATTTTTAATAGGATATAAACTGATAAAAATGAATAAGAAGTCATATGTAAAGTTTATTGATATTAAAATATTGAATTAATATTTACTGAACTGTTTACTGCTTAAATTATAATACTAAATACTGAATTATGATATTTATTGAACTATTTATGCCTTGAATTACGATACTGAAATAATAAATTTGAATGTTTACTGAATAAACTAATTTAAAAGATTTGGTGAATGAATTAGAGTGTAAATATCACGTATTTTTTAAATTAAAGAGAAATATATTTTGAATTCTCTATGTCAGTAGTTTTATATTTTCAACTAATTTGAATAGATTACCTTATTATTTGTTAGTACTTATATGCTTACTGAATATGTTAAGTTCATCATACTTATTATTATTATTTTTTTCATATTAGAATAATCAGAATCCTGCTTCTGAACAGTAAGAGATTTACTTTGAGATCGTTTAATTTATATTTTAATTCAAACAATACTTAAGATTAATTATTCATTTCGTAGTAACTTTTATTTTAGAGTTTATAAATGTCTCGTAAATATTAGATATTTTGAGCTAAATACGCAAGATATATAATTTTATTATTTTAAAATTTATTACGCAAAATATTCTTATAGATTATTTTGTATACAATAAGAACTCTATATGAAAGTTCGGAATGTTACTGTAACGGCCCCGGAAATATTAAAATGAAATGAGTATTTAAATATATCAAATGCGGAAGCGAGATCAAAATTTCAGTTAACATCCCTTACACGAAAAACAAAAAACGTACTTAAAATATAAAAGATTAAACTAACTAAGAGAGAAACTCGAAAATAAAACTATGAGTATGACTACAGAGTCTCTAGGCATCCCCTTCGTCGTCCTCCTGCGGAACGGGCTCGGGAACCATGTCTTCCTGATCTGAAATGGTTAAATAAGGAGTGAGCTACACTAGCCCAGTAAGAACATCACGATATCTCACCGTCACGGAGGTAAAGGTGGGTAGAAAAACACAAAAAGACCAATGGAGCATAATTTACAATAAACTCGTTTATTAACATGAAAACCTTTACCATCCACTTACCTCGGTGGAATTTATGAAAACAATATAAGAAAAATAATAACATTATCATAATCATGGAATAATATAAGCTGTAAAACATAACACTTATCACGCCTCTTGTAATTCAATCATTGTACAACATATCTTTTTCTCATTTACCAGCCTACTAGTATCCGTGGGGGTCCATAGGGGTTCCGCTACCCGTTAACCTTTAACATTCATAATCAGTTTCCAGGGGCCGTCCCCATACCCCGTCCAGTATGGGCGCCAAAACCATGAACCTCAATACCCCGTCCGGTATGAGGGTGAAACGGGCCGTCCCCATACCCCGTCCGGTATGGGCGCCAAAAACCATAAACCTCAATACCCCGTCCGGTATGAGGGTGAAACGGGCCGTCCCCATACCCCGTCCGGTATGGGCGCCAAAACCATAAGATCTCCATACCCCGTCCGGCATGTGAGACCACAATCCCGGTAGGGTTCCCTACGGACCCAGTCCGTCCACCATCTCCCAGGATATCTAGTCAGGCTGACCCCCATAATACAATTATCAGTCTACACAATCTTTCATTTTTCCTTTTCCTCAATCAGCATCATCAATTAACATACAAACAAGCAAACAGTAATTCATGCCAAACAGACAACATACAGTATCAGTTTTTCAGTTATTCAACCCATGATTAATAAAAACGTAGTATATGCACACAAATCTGTAAAATGAACACATCAAACCTCATTTTTGCATTTAAAGCTGTAAACATGCCAAATAACAGTAAATCACCAATCACACTAGACTCGGGCTCCATTAGCTACCTTAAGCAATTTCACACATTCGTTAATTCAAGAAATACCGTTTTATCATTTTGAACTTTAATACCGTGATAGGAAATAGGGTGAGGGGTCCTTACTTGTTTTCGAGATCCGAATACGATTCACAGTGCGCCTGCAGGCTGTCCCTAATTTTCCCTGAATTTTTCCCGGGGAACTGAAACACACTAACAGTACCTGCACGTGTTCCAAAAAAAATCCAAATTAGGCCCAGGGCCTCCTTCGGCCCAAATCGCAACTCCGGCACGGCGGCTCCGCCGTGCTCCGGCGACGGCGCCGCCGCTGGCGGCGGCAAGTCGCCTCGGGTTGGCTGTTTTCGGCCGTTTTCGGCCGAATTCGGCCACGCTCGCATTGGTCCTTGTCAGAAA